CAGCCTCATCTTAAAACATTGTCACCAGGACTGCCCTTTTGGGGCCAGTTTTGTGACCTAACAGAGACAAAGTAGAAAAAAAATGGACAGTCCAGTCAAAGTGGTAGATCTTTTCTGTTGGTCTGTGTGCTGTGCTATTTTGTAAATGTGGGTATTTTGATAGAATTTGAAATCAGCAAACCTGTTACTTTGTCTATTTAGGATCTTTTGTACCTCTAAATCCCCCATTTAGTATATATTGGCCGTAGATTAACATAGCTTTTGTTGTGTTCCTATATATTTGTTTAATTCCTATTATCCTTGGAATTTTTGTCATGAAGTGATGTTGAACTTTGTCAAGATATTTTCTGCATCTGTTTAGATTGTCATGTGATTTATACTCTTTAATTTGTGTGCTATGTTACATTTGTTGATTTGTACATGTTGGGCTATTCTTGGCATCTCTGGAATGAAACTCACTTGATAATGGTATACAGTCTTCTTAATATATTACTTAATTTCAAGAGCCATTGGTGGCAACATTTAGCTTTCTGGGTGTGTGTCCTTGGTAGGTTCTTACCCAAGAGATCCCCAGAGACTTCTTATCCTGGGGTAGCTAATGTCTAGGCCAAAGTCCCCCCACCCACTCACCCACCTCCCAAGTCCACAGAAAGTAGGAGAAGCAAACAGAGCACAGAAATCTATGCTGAATGGGGAGAACCAAGGAAGCTAGCACTTTCCCTGGATGTCTCAGTGCTCCATATCTCACTTGGGCTAGCTATCCCGTGATAGATAAAACTAGAAGGGAACTGACTCACTGGACTTGACCTCAGAGCTCTGTCTGGCTCCTGTTTGGCAGCAAACAACACAGCAGGGAAGCAGCTTTGGAGTCCCTTAGCCATAGACCCAGACCTATCAGTGTCCACTGTGACCTTAACTTGAAGGGATTTACACCAGTAAAGGTAGCCCTGAAGCCACTGTGCTCTTCATAGGCCATGTCTTCTACTGCCTCAATGTGATGCATAGAGTGTTTCTGGGATTCCTGAATTGTGATTGTCCCTTGTTTTCAGGTCTCCCTAGAATAGCTCAGTCTCAAACAATAGCCCCTTATATCATTTTTTGAGAGGCGGCCTTACTATTCTTCACAATGCCTGTGGAAATTTACATTCTCACCAACAGTTGTTCAGGGCCTCCCCTTTCTTCAACCACAACAGCATTTAGAGTTCTTTTTTGAAGTGAGCCATTTTTAATGGGTTGTGATGATACCTCATTCTGATTTTGATTTGCTTTTACCCTGGTTGGTTGACACTGAGCATTTTTTATATGCCTATTAGATTTGTATGTCTTCTATTAAGAAATCTCTACTTAGATCTATTGTCCATTTTATTTGGTTTATTTGGAGTTAATTGTTGTGGTTTTTTGTTTTGGTTTGTTTGGTTTTTTTTTTTTTTTTTTTTGGAGTTCCTGGTATATTCTAGTATGGATAAGCAGCTAACAAATGTTTTGTCCTCTTCTCCTGTCTGCTCACTCTGCCAATTGTTTCCTGTATTGATGTTTTCAGTATGATGAAATCCTATATGTCCATTTTTCTGTGCTTTGGATATCATACCAAAAGTACTCTCAGAGCTTCATGTCTCACATTTATGTTTCTGTTCCACTTTGAGTTGACCTTCATACAGCATGAAAGGAGGTCAAGTTTCTGTATTTTGAATGCAGCTTTCTTAGCATCATGCATTGAAGTGGCTGACATTTCTCCAGTGTATAATTCCAGTGCCATTGTCAAAAAATCTTTTAAATGTAGTAGTTGGATTGGTTTATTTGTATATGCCTATTCTGTTCCATTGGCCTTGGTGTCTTTCTTTGGTTTTGGTTTGGTTTGGTTTTTCAAGACAGGGTTTCTCTGTGTAGCTTTGCGCCTTTCATGGAATTCACTTGGTAGCCCAGGCTGGCCTCGAACTCACAGAGATCCGCCTGGCTCTGCCTCCTGAGTGCTGGGATTAAAGGTGTGCGCCACTACCGCCCAGCGTGATGTCTTTCTTTTAGGCCAGTACCTTGTGCTACTTTGGTTACTAGGTTCCAGCAGTATGTCTTGCAATCAGATGCTACTATCCTTCTAGATTTGATCTCTTTATGCCTTACTTCTCTGACTATATGCATTGTTTTCCATATCTATATGGATTTCAGAATCCTTTGCCCTGTTCTATGAATATAGCCATTACAATTTTGATGAGGATTGCTACATAATGCCTATTCCTTCTCCTCTATGTAAAATCCTTCCCCATCTTTACTTTTTAACTATTTTAAATGTAACATTTAGAGCATTGCAGTTAAGTCATCTAGCAATGTTTTGTTTTTCTTTTTTTAAATTTTCTGGGCTTAGAGAGATGGCTCAGTGGGTGAGAGCACATGTCATGCAAGCATGAGGACTTACTTAGTTCAAGTCTCCTGAACCAGCGTAAGATGTTGGACATGGCATGGAGCATGTGTGTAACCCCAGGGTTGCAGTAGACAGAGACAAGGAAGATCTCTGGGGCTTGCTGACCTCCAGGTTCATTGAGAAACCCTGTGTCGAGTGAATAAAGTGGAGATGGATACAGCAGAGCACCCGATGTCCTCCTCTGCCTTCACACTTGTGTGCAACTACACATGCCACCCCCATATCCTCACAAAGCATATATACACATTTACACAGGTAACACAAATGTTTTTCTTCTATCTCCTTCCTATCCTCTCCTAGAACTAATCTATTTCTCATCAACAAATCAATAGCATGTACAATTATGAGCAGCTGTTGACTTCTTGTAATATTATTGGATATAGTGTTATACCTAGCCTGCTGTGCACCGTGAGGAAGGAGAGAGACAACACTTAATGGGTTCCAAAGATTTTATTGAATCACCACATGAGCGAGTCACTGATCAATTGGCTGCAGGACAAAGGCTCGGGAGCCTTGTTTCTCCTGACAGCCCCGGGCAGGGCAGAAGTGGGGTTTATAAGCACAAAAATCACAAACATTTGGTGCCAGGTTATGGTTACAATTTTCCAATCTGGATTTCGAGACTAGGGGCTTCCTTGAATGTTCCATCACTGTCAACTGACATACAATGCAAGCCTTTCAGTCTAGCCAATAAAATCATTCATTTGTTCCTTCTGTTGTTAGGAACACCCATAATGTTTCTAGAGAACTAAAGATGCATAACGACTATTTCTCTGGTTTAGAGAGCAGAATGATCAGTCATTGGAAAGTTCTCAGCTCCCCTAGGGCTTGGGAACCTGAACTTTATTTCACCCTGCAGGTAAAATGGAGTCTGAAGTAAAATGACAGGACTCAGGCCAAGATGCTTTTGCCTGCTCCCTTCAATAGCTAGGTAAATGAAAATATACATACCCTATAATACATGAGTTCCACTTCCAAGTTCATGCACCCAGAATTTCCTTGTGTGTGAACAAAGAAGGACACACACATGGATATTTAACCATTCTCTGTGATAGAAATTAATTTAGTATATATGCTAAATTTAGTATATTTAGATATTGCCAAGTGTCCAGCAAAGAGTTATGTTGAATGGACTAAATCTCTAGATAGCAAAAAAATTAAATCTTAGAAGATTAAGGAAGGTAAGCTGTAGAATATTACAATCTAATCTTTAAATTTCAGGAAACAGTGCTACTTTAGATATGGAGTTTTAAAAAAACAGACAAGACTTGTTTGTGTGTTTTATTATTTTCTGAACCTTTTCTGCATTTGGAAACATCTCTGAAGCAGTTGAAAGAACAAGATAAAGGAAGGACCCAACAAAAGAAGCTTTGTCTTGTGCTTGAAACCATCCGTCTTGTTACTTGTGGTGACCACACTTTAGAATTTCTTCTTGCATGCTCAAAATGTTTTTAACAACTGTGTTAAAATGAGAAGAGGTTTTTGATTAAACAGACTATATTTCATGAGAACTCTTACACCACAGTAAATGTTCCACTATAGGACTGGGTATGATGAATGTGTACCTGTAAGCCCAGGTCTTCTGGAAACCAGTGAATTGCAAGCTTCAGGAATTACTTAGCGAATCTCTGTCTCAGGAAGCAACAACAACAAAATAACCAGAAATCCATATGAGATTAGTTCCACTGTCTCTAGTAGACATCAAAACCCAGTGATATTAAATTTCCCTGTTTATAGTTCTATTGTCGATATGCAACATACATACATCTAATAGAATTTAAACTGCCTCTTAATTACATGTAATGTCTAGTACATGTATAAATAGTTAGCTTTCTGAGCTGTAGACATAACAAGATGAAAAGTTTGTAAATTACAGGTACAGATTCTTCTCAAAATGTTTTCGTTCTGCATTGGTTAAGTCCACAATTGAACCCTCATAAGGTTCTGCCCCATAGGTACATACTTTAGGCATACTTTGTCTACTGATATTTCTGTCGAAAAAGACATTTTAATGTCATATCTCTGTTACTTTGCTGAATAATAAGTGTTTAAATCTATTACACATAACTAAAATGGATTGTTATGGGGATTTCTAAGTTAGATCACTCCCGTAGAGTGTTACATTACTCAGAGAGGTGAATTATATGTGAACCTGTCTGCCAGTATTATTCAGACTTTTAAGTTTAACATGCAGAAAGTGGCTCTCTGAAATGGTGCATGCAGCGCCCTCTTGTGGCATGAAAAGTATTTTTTTAAGGTTTGTTTTAAGTTTTGCAGGGCAAGGAGTTGGTTTTTTCCCCCAAAAGATTTATTATTCTACCTTTAATTGTGTTGGAGGAGGGCTGTGTACTAGTGAATACATGTGCTTGTGCAGGACAAGAGGCATTATATCCCCCAGGTTTGGGAATTAAAGGCAGTGAGCCTCTAAACACGGTTACTAGGAACTGAACTGCTGAGCCATCTCTCTAGCCCCTATTTTAAAATTTGTAGATCAGTTTCCCAAGCCAAACCACACCCAAAACCCACCCCAAAAGATAATACCTCAAAAATGGGAATTCGTGTTTGTTTGTTTGTTTTATTTCAGAACCAAGTGGATATGCTGCTTCAGGAAATGGCTGATGAAGCAGGGTAAGGCGTTGCTATTCCAGTGCTTTTGAATAATCTTGATCTGATAGTTAGAGGTTCTAAAATTTGATACTTTGGAGTTAGGCTGTGGCTAAGTGTTTTTGCCTAGTATATGTGAGGTCCTGGACTGAAGCACAAGCACTACTAAAATTTATTATGGATTGAAGAATTTGTCTTTAAACCATTAGTCCAGCTGGGGTTTTTGACTCTTTCTAGAGTTAGTGTTTTAAGGGCTTACCATTTTCTAGCCATTCTCCCAAAAACATGACTCTTCAAACCATAATAGCATATTCTTTAAAATCTTTGGAGATAGTTTCATTCAGAGTGTGATATTAAGAAATACATGGAGATGATCAAAGGATGATCAGACATTTACTCAATGTCTGCTGTACACAGCATATATCACTGTATATAGATGTTTTCTAGAGATTTTGGGAACAAATTCAGTGATCAGGCCATTGATGCATAGGTCAGTGTGAATCCTACAAACTGAACAATTTGTGGAAATTGTGCAAAGGGCAAAAGCATCATAAACACAGAAGCTTGTCATTTGTTTTTCTTAAGTAATCAGTACCCTTTTTCACACAGCTGTTGCTATGTCTGTGTCTGATATGGACTACTTACTTCAAATATTTCATGTAGGGGAATAACTTGACCATGATATCTGTTACAGACATCATGTTTTATCACTGGTCTCTCTAGTAATATTTAGATAAATAACCATAGTAGTAAAAAATAAAATGTTGAAAACATTGAAATTGAAACATGGAAATGCCTTAGATTTTTCTTCCAAACCTAGATTAATAAAGTGAAATAAGGTTTACATAGTCTGCATATTTTTTTCTTCAAGAAAAAGAAAATTCAGTTACTAAGAAAATAGAGTTGATAAACATGACTCTAGTGTATAAAGTAATTTTTGATTAGAATGAACAGTGAGTGACATTTATCAATTTTTAGAACAGTAATGTATCATTAGTAAGTTAAATCCATGTTATTAATTGCTAAATAAGGTTTGCAATGTTTGAGAAGAAGGTTTGGATGTTAGATTGTGTACCATTTTGCTCCATTAGTATTGTGAGAAGCCCACAGGCCAGCACAGGGTAGTAGTACAAAGGGCGATTTTCATCATAAAACAAACTAGGGCATTGTTACAAAACTCCATCTTAGTAATAAAAGACTAAGGACTTGTTTCTGTTTTTTTCTAAAGACTAAATGAGAGGATTTGGACTTGAAAAGATAATGATAGCCAGGCGGTGGTGGTGCACGCCTTTAATCCCAGCACTTGAGGGGAAGAGGCAGGTGGATCTATCTCTGTGAGTTCGAGGCCAGCCTGGGCTACAGAGTGAGTTCCAGGAAAGGCACAATGCTACACAGAGAAACGCTGTCTCGAAAAAAAAAAAAAAGAAAAGAAAGAAAGAAAGAAAGAAAGACAAGATAGTGATAGAGATATTATGAAATGAGCACTACCAAATATTGTAGCCTTGCCTACTGTCAGTGGGAAAGCTCAGTAGGCAACTTTTGCTAAGGCTAGAGCATCATTTCTCACCGTTAACAGTATTGACATTTGGAGGGATTAATCGTAGGGTCTGTTTCAAGCATTGTAGTATGTTAGCAGCATCCTGGCCTCTACACTCCAAAAGCCGGTAGCACCATTTCTCTACTTGTTGAAGCTCTGCATGTCTCCAGATACTGAGAGCTATTCTTTGGGAAAATGAGACTAGTGTTGAGAAATTAATTCACTCAGCAGCTAAAGCAACAGAAGTAGGTAGAACCACTGATAGAAAAATGTTAATGTCCACCATTAAGGATGTTTAGGTAGCCATTTGTTGTTTTGTTCTCATAATAAAATTTTAGTACAGTCTATGTTTGCCTTTCTAACAACATCTGCCAATAACATACCATAATGACTTTTGAAATTACTGTTTTACTTGTAGAGTTTTCACATGGTAATACATGATTTTAGAGACAGAATAAATAGTTTATATTCTAAAGGAAGAGTGCAGTAGAGATTAAGGTCATGGACCTTGGAGGTAAGCAAACAAACTAATCTAGATCTATGCATATGCTATCTCTTTCACTGGGGTGATGTTCTGGGGAAGCTACATTAAGTTTCTTAAATCCCAGTTGTGTAGTTGGATGAAATTCTTGGTTCCTCAAGAACCTCTGAATCAACTGAACAAGGCTGATATATCTTCACAGCGACTGAAACAGTCAGAACAGAGCCTACACGGGTCTCCACGAGGTTCTCTGCATCTAAATTATAGCTCTCAGCTTAGTGTTTTTATGGGACTCCTGGGTGTGTGAACAAGTGGGCCTCTGATTCTTGTGTCTTCTTTTGGGCTCTTTTCTTTCTGTTGGTTTGCCTTGTCCAGCCTCGATGTGATGCTTATTGTTATATTATGTTATGTTATGTTACGTTATGTTATGTTATGTTATGTTTTGTTATGTTTTCTTATTCTCTTAGAAGCCTGATCTTTTCTAATGAGAGACAGAAAGAGAGCAGACCTGAAGGAAAGGGGAGGTGGGAAGGAGAGAGGAACTGGGAGGAGTGGAGGGAGGGGACACTATCATCTAGATATAGTATATGAGAAAAGAATCTATTTTCAGTAAATGGAAAATCATACTTAAGATATAAAACATAAAAAATTAATTTTGAAATAAGTAAAATGAAAAAAACTTTTCAAATTTTAATCAAGAAAAAAGAAGAAAGAAATTACTGGTTCCTAGTAAGAGAATTCAGGAACTGAATACTAAAATGAAAATTAACACGAATATTAGATCTGGCTCCTTAGGCTACATTCATCTAGACTGTTTTGAATTTTTTAACAATTTATTAATTTGCCTTCACAGTGAAGGAGACAAATAATATCCATGAAATAGAGTACAACAGATGATGATTATTTTGGTCTTTTGTTTACTGCAGTTGATCATTTCTCAGTCTTTAATTAGCTTTTCTATTCCAACATTATACCATCTGTATGGATCACTATTTGGACTCAAGAAAAGTACTTTGAAATCATCAGTCATGTATCCAAAATCATTTTGAAGACATTCCAGTTCTATTTACATGTAAACGTGGTTGTATTTTATTTAAAGTGATAAAAGTAGTACTCAAGTTTGTCTATATTAACATTCATTTCTTCTGATTGTTTTTAAATTTATCTTTAGCCTTGATCTCAATATGGAGCTCCCACAGGGTCAGACAGGGTCTGTTGGTGCAAGTGTTGCTTCCACGGAGCAGGTAGAGGTTGAATTTTATTTTGATTCATATGCTTGATTCATTATTTAAATTAATAATTTGGGAAATGTATATTTCATATGAAATGTATACATTTGTATATAAGGAAATATATATATTCACCTTTTTTCTACTGAATACATCATTAAAATGAACAAAATGCGAGCAGCCAGTGGCTGTGTAACTGGGCATTTTCAGTTTGCATGCACATTTCATTTTTTAGATTGTTTTGGTAACCTTTGTAGGTGCTGTCTAAGATCCTCGATGTCTTTTGAGATATTTAAGAAAAGTAAATGCCTGATGTTTATATAAGTTTTATAAAGAAGATTTTAAATTGTATTTAAAATGTAAGGGAATTAAAATTTTTAGTGGTTTATATTTGTTACAGCCTTTGATGATTTGTAAATTTGGCTTCCTCTAGGATGAACTGTCACAGAGGCTTGCTCGTCTGCGTGATCAAGTGTAACTTAAATAACTGGTGCTTCTGTTTCCTCCATGTGTGTCTGAAACATCCTTTGTGTGTATGTACATATATATGTATATATATATTATAAAGTTGCACTCTAGTTAGAAAAACACCATACATGCCAGAATGTTTGAACATTATTTATATACGATGCTTTCTTTTTGCCTTGTTTATTTTGCAGTGCATTAAGAAATTCCAGGGAATTTCCACATTGGCAGATTTATAGTTCTGTATATTATATGTAAAAGTGTGAGGGACATATTTTTGTAGATGTCTTTGACAAAGCTAGCATTACTTTTCTGTAATACATCTTCCTCAAATATTAGAGCAAACATCTAGCACCAAAGTACTAAGTAAAGTCATTTTGTCCAAATAAAGGCATTTTTTTAATTGCAAGGAATTTTCAGTCACTGTCTGTGATGGAATGTGATTGTATAAAAATAAAAACAGAGAAAGCATGTTTATTTAATATGTTTGCACAGCCCCAAGCCTCTTATTTTAAAGTATTATACAATAGACTGTATTGCTTTCTATGGGATTTTTAAAACTTAACTTTATTTTGTATGTGTGGTTGTTTTGCCTGTGTATTACTTGTGTTCCTGGTGCCCACAGAGGCCAGAAGAGGACATTGAATCCCCTGGAACTGGACTTACAGACAGTTGTAAGCCTCTTAACTCTTGGGCCATATACCCAGCCCATTTTGTTTAGTTTTGTTGTAGTTTTTGTTTGTTTGTTTGTTTGTTTAATTTTAGAGATAGCATGGGAACATGTAGCCCAGTGTAGTCTCAAACTCAGTGATCCTTCAGCCTTGGTCTCATGGTGTATGCCACTACACCCAGCTCATTTTCTGTGATTTATGGTTTTTTTTTTTGTTATGTGCATTAGTTATTTTTCTATTGCTGTGATAAAATACCAAAAGTGGCTTATGGGAGAAAGGAGTTATTTTGGTTTGTAGTTCAAGAGGAATGAGGATTCATCATGGTGGGGAGAAAGGGCAGCAAGAACAGGAAGCTGAGCTGTCACATCTTCAGTGGCAAACAAAGTAGAGGGAACAGACTGGAATTGGGACAGAGATATAAGCTCTCAAACCCCACCGCAGCGGCATACTTCATTTAGCAAATCTTCACATTCCCATACCACCAGCTGGGAAACAAGTATTCAGATGTATGAGCCCATGGACAACATTTCTTACTCATGCCACCTCATTCCTCTCCCTGGCTCCCAGAGGCTCATGGCCATATTAAAATGCAAAATGTGTTTAGTTCAACTTTAAAGGTTACCATAATTTTTCTCAGCCTTAACACTGTTTCAGATTTCAAAATCTAACATCTCTTGTGAGACTCAAGGCAGTCTTTTAACTGTAGCCACCTATAAAGTCTAAAAGCAAATAGCATTCTTCCAACATACAATGGCACAAAATAAACATTTTAAAAGGGAGGAATGGCGGCCATAGTGAGGAGATGCTGGACTGCAGAAAGACTGAAACCTAGCAGGGCAGACCAGCAAAACCTGTAGCTCCATGTCTGATGTCTGAGACTTTTCTTTCAATGGGCATAGATGCCTTAACCTCTCCAGCTTTGCTGCCTGCAACAACAGCCCACTCTCTAGGACTAATTTCTATATTAGTTACTTTTCTGTTGCTGTGATTAAGCACCATGACCAGAAAGCAACTTGTAGATGAAAGAGTTTATTTTGGCTTACAGTTCCAGAGAGATAAGAAAGAGACCATTGAGGCAGGGGAAGCTTGGAAGCAAGAGCGGAAAGCTGAGAGGTCACATCTTCCATGGCAAACATGAAGCAGACAGAGCAAAATGGAAGTGGGGCAAGACTATACACTCTCAATGCCTGTCCCTGGTGATGTAATTCTTCCAGCAAAGTTGCATGATAACCTGTGCCATAAGCTTCCCAACCAGCACCACCAACTGCTGATCTTAGTTTCAAATATATGCACTTATGGGGGACCTTTCTCATTCAAACCACTATATTATATAAGGAGAAACACAGTAAATATTTACTTTGTTTTCATCAGTTGTTAAGTATAAATTATTACAGTTTTTATCCAGTAATTTAATTATGATTCTTCGTTAACCTTTTAAGACCTTTTATTGACAATTTATTAAATAACTAGGAAAATTCTGCAACATTAATCTGAAAAATTAAGACTTGTTTGTTTTTAAATTTTCTTTCTGCAACATATTGCTACCATGCCCAGCGTCCCCAGGAAGCTCTTTTTCCTGGCACCTTCTAGGCAATTGGCCATGTCAAGATAAGGCTGAATATCTTCAGCTTCCTAGCCACCAGCTGTCAGAAACTCATGGAAGTAGACAAGGACCACAAACATTGTGCTTTATATAAGATGTGCATGGCCAAAGATGTAGCTGCTGATGCTCTGGGTGAAGAGTGGAGAGGTTATGTAGTCTGAATCTGTGATGAGAATGACAAACAAGGTTTCCCAATGAAGCAAGACATCTTGACCTATGCCAGAGTGCTCCTGCTGTTGAGTAAAGGTCATTCTTGTTGTAGGCCAGGGGGAACTAGAGAAAGAGCACAAATCTGTTCATGAATGCATTGTAGGTTGTTGTGGGGTATTTTGATCACACTCTGACACTCCTGAGACTGACAATAAAGTTTACCTTGAATCAGAGAGCAGAGCTAGCTACTAGCTGACCAGAATTCGCCATAGAGATTTTGGAGGACACAGGACATATAGAGAGACACAGGAAATAGTAGGGGGGGCTTAGAAAGATTCACGGGTCATTTTGGATGTAATATCCTCAGGAATATTTATATTTTACCAAGCAAAGATAAACACTTCAGCACTTGCCTGCATTTTTGATACTGCACTATCAGTTGTGGCAAAGTAACACAATTATGTTTTAGCAAGTATAGTGCTAATTTAGGTTAAGCATATGTTTTCCCTTCTTTACTGAAAGACCAATCCATGAAAAAAAATCTAGTATATCTTGAAATTCAGTTAAAGAATAAGACCCTGTGTTCTATCCCCAGCACCACCAAATGTTGTTTCCCTTATAAATCATAAAGGTATTCAAAATGATACCATAGAGATACTATACTCAGCTGTTCATATATGCTATATCTTATACACAAGAGTGTAAGTGAAAATTATATTTACTGGTTACTAGGTGAAGAACTTCTCTTGATAATTTTTATTAAACGTTTTAACTTCCTAATGTTTGATTATGATTGTAGCCATAATATATATTTTCATTTTTATTTGTAATTGATTTGTTTTTCTTAAAGTTTGTATTGGAACACACTATATAACCGGATAGGCTAAAGTATCTATGACATAAAGAATTTGTTTTCCATTGGTGTGAATTAAATAGCTTTTGTTCTTTTAACTTGAATAAAAATCGTTAGATTTCTTACTACGACTTAGCTCCACAGCTAACTGTTCATTCTTTTATGTTACAACCATGTCAGATTTGCCTTTTAAAAATATTAATGTTGGGGCTGGGGAGTGAAGAGCTCATACTACTGTTACTAGAGGACCTGAGTTTGTGTCTCAGTAGCTACATCAGTCAGTTTCAGAGGATCCAGTGGCCTTTCCTGGTCCCCTGCACTCATTTATACAGATGCACACAGACTCACATACACATAATGTAAAAATAAAAACATACCAGGCATGGTGGCACATATCTTTAATCCCAGTGAGTTCCAGGCCAGCCTGGTCAATATAGTGAGTTCCAGGCCAGGCAGATATATATATATAAAATGAGGCCATGTCTCAAAAAATATTTGGAAAACATTGATAAGGCAGGTAAGATAGTTTAGTAGGTATAGGCACTTACCACTAAGCCTGATGACCTGAGTTTGGTCCCTGTGAGCCATGTGGTGGACATAGAGCTCCAACTCCACAGACTCTCCTCTGATATCCACACACATTCTGTTGCATGCACATGTCCACTTATGTACACACAAATACAATTATTAAAATTAAATACATTGATGGACACTGTTTTACTTTTATTCATTCTTTTATTAAAGTAATAAAAATGTACCTCTTAGATTTTATTCCTAAACCAATAACCTCAGAGACTATAGCATAATTTTACTTCTAATTTGATAATGACTTCAAAAATTTATAACATGTCAGACTATACTATCATGAAAAGTAGAATAATGTGTTTTTGCATTTGTATGAAGTTTTAGTCCTCTATAAATCTCATGTTCTTCTGATGTGTTTCCTAAGCATTTGATGACATCATTTGGTTGAACATACCATACTCAAATGTTCAAAACATCCTGTTGCACTTTCACCCATTGGATAAAGAGACTGATTTAATTCTCCATTTGTTCATGTGTCTTAAATGCTTAAAAGTCATCTGCTTGCCTGTGAACCATTTTAGGTAACATTATGGACTAGGTTATTTTACCTGGTTAATTGATTTCTCAGGAGCAGCGCATGGAAGAGGAGGAATGGGAGATGGAAAAGGTAACCATGAAGAGAAGTGAGTTTGCCATGGAGTTGAGATAATTCTCAGAAAAGAGCATATGAATTATTTGGAGAAAGAAAAAAAAGATAGAATAATAGAGGCAAGCTTGACAGCTTCCTGTGGTTAATGAGTTTTGTTGCTAATGATTTCAGGGTAAACTGAAAAATGGTCCCTTTTTAAAATCCTAATGGGACCTGGAGATATGGCTCAGCAGTAAAGAGCACTAGCTACTCTTTCAGAGAATGTGGGTTCCGTTTCCAGCACCTACATGAATGACCTTTTGTAACTTCAGTGTCAGGAGAGCTGACTCTTTTAATGTCTGTGGGTTTCTGCACAAATGTGGTGCATGAACATGCATGAACATGTACACTCAATGAATGTGAATAAATATTTTTGAACTTCTATTAACTCATTCTATTTTTTCATGGCAAGTATTTCTGATGCTTATTATTTTTACTATCATTATTATTCAGTTATTGGATTCCTCTAATATTAATTGAGAAGGTACTTGCCATGTGCTATGACAATTTGTTTTTTAAGCTGAAGAGAAAGAAGGGGCTGGATATCATTATCCTCATTTTTTAAATGACTGAAGTTGATTCTGAGTGATCTCTACCAGACCAAGCCTATATCACGCATACATTGTCACTACTTTCTCTGTTGCAGAGAATAATGGCATTCTTTTCCCACATGCCTCGTGGAAACTAAGTTATCTTACCTGCTTCCAAAACTGGAGAGAATACAAAGAATGGCCTGAAACTCCCTGCATTTTCATGTGCAATCAAAACAAAATTATTTACCATCTGCTATATTTCTGTTTGCCCACTATTCAATAATCCTTCCTTAGGTACTTTTCTTGAAAATTCCCTGAAATACATACACTATTAGTATCAACAACTCACCCCTTCATTATGACTACCTAAATTCAGTAACTCAAATGCCTGGTTCTAGCTGATATCTGAAATATAACAAGCCCAAGTAAAATTTGACTGTACTGGAGATAAATGTCGATAAAGCCAACCTCCCAGAAATAGGGTTGGGTGGAATTGGGAGTCTAATGCTGGGTACTATGAAGAGAGTACCTGGCATGGACTTTGGAAAGACATAGGAAGAATCTGCTGCAGTTAAGAGTTGTTAGTCTCTATTGTACACAGAGTCTGTCTTAGCCCTCATAGACAACAACTGTCAGGGCTGGGACAAGTCTACCTACCTTAGTCCATTTTTTATATCTTCATCACTCACACTAGATAGCATCTTGACTTCTCTCTTTTTATTGGGAGAGAATCAGATCCCAACTATCTTAATATGGTTGGCAAGCCTTACCCTACATTAACCTGATTTTGACCCTTCTATAGAGATGTTCCATGACAATAGCATCCTTCCCAAACTGGGGGATTGTAGGTCAGTGCTCATCAAACAGTGTTAGAACGATTATTTGAAATTGGCTGTTCTTTGTAACTAAGTAACATTTTTATCAGCCTTGGATAGGTTTCCTGCATGGGAACATATCCTAGATAAGCTAACAAGAACTCACTATAAAACTTTTCTACTTTCCACAGGATGTCTCCTGCCCAAAATATTTATCATTTGTCAGCAGAAGTATCGTAATTCTTACCTCCTTTGGGTGGAGGCAGTTAAAAGTATCAGTACTCGTTCAGAGGGCAACCTGAAACTTAAATCTAATGTATTGCAGTGTCTCCAAGTATACTGCTAAAAATGGCAGTATCAGCATTACCTAAGCTACTTGCTGTGAAAGCATATTACTATTAAGCCAGGTGTAGTGAGTTGTAAATACTTGTCATCCCATGACTCGAGAAGCTGAAACAAGAAAAGTCATCATTTGATACCAGCCAGGGCTACATGGTGAATTCCAGACTGGCTTGTACTACATCAAAAGACCTGTCTCAAAAGGAAGAAAAAAACTGAAGAAAAATCAGAAAGAAAACAACACCAGTTCCATTAAAGACCTAATATATGGTTAGAGAGAAACAGTCTTTTACAATCCAACAGAATATTCTAGTACATTCTAAAGTTTGATAATTAATGCCTAAATAAGACTTAGTTTACCAAATGTTTTTATAACAATGGGATTTGAACTCAAGGTCTTACATATGCTAGATATGTTCTCTAACACCGAGTTACATCCCCACCTCTGATTTCTCATTTTCAGGAGAACTATATTTAAGGTGTTGTGACTTCCAATGTTGCTTAGAATATGTGGTAAAGTGTATGGTACACTTTAGTTATTGTGACTAGATCCATGGTTTTCCATCACAAATGAACATTAACATTACTTGAGGCCATTAATCCCAGTACTTCAGAGGCAGGGGCAGGTGTATCTCTGAGCTCAAGGCTGGCCTAGTCTACATAGTGAGTTCCAGGCCAACCAAGGCTACATAGCAAGATTTTCGTCTCAAAAATAATCAATAAATGAAAAATCACAAAAGTCAAGGTTATGCCCCACATCAATTGCTACTAAAATTTCTGGAAGTTGGACACTTTGCTAAGCTTTAAAAGTTCTCCAGTGATTTCAGGGCCAGTCTGAACTGAGAACATTTGTTCTGAAGCTTGCCTACACATTACAGTTGGGAAGCTTAAAAACTCTGTGTGTCAGAAGGGGTGGGATTCCCAAAAACACAAGTACATGTGTGTGTGCATTCCTAAAAATGCAATTACAATGTATGTGTGTCTATATATTCCTAAAATTGTAAGTACAATGTGTGTGTATGTGTATTCCTAAATACATAACTACAGCGTGCTGAGTCTGTATCATGTCATTTGTGTGTATGTTTTCAGGGCTGACCATTTGGTATTGCATAACCAATTGATGTGCTCTTCCCTGGGGAAGACTATTTCTCCTGTTCTCAGTATTCCTTATTTGCCTGTAGTTCTTTGTGTAGGTTAACAACAATTAATTAAAAACAGAGGCCGGGACTTGAAAGAGAGCAAGGAGTGGTGTATGGGAGGGTTTGGAGGGAGGAAGGAGAAATGATGTGATTATACTCTATAAAATAATTTAAAACTAAACCCTCAATCAAAATTACACCAATTAAATATAATTCTCAAGGGTGACACCTTTTAAATGTTCACCTCTGACCAGTAGGGATCATCAACAGCTGCTCCAGAAACTACTTTTCCACCTCCCTGCATTGCAGTTACATTGTTTTTTTTTTCTTTCCTTTTTTTGGAGCTGAGGACTGCTAGGCAAGTGCTCTACCACTGAGCTAAATCCCCAACCCCTGTTTAGGTTTTCTTATTTTTTTATTATTCTTTTTTAAAGATTTATTTATTTATTTATTATATGTTCTGTCTGCAAGTATCTTTGCAGGTCAGAAGAGGGCACCAGATCTCATTACAATGGTTGTGAGCCACCATGTGATAGCTGGGAATTGAACTCGGGACCTCTGGAAGAACAGTCAGTGCTCTTAACCTCTGAGCCATCCCTCCAGCTCAAGGTGCACTGGGGTAATCGTGATTCAGAGCTTGTGGGAGTGGCTAATGAGTTGTTAACTTGAGGCCGATGCCACCAGAGGGAGCCCATGCCTGACACTGCCTGGATAGCCAGAATCCAGAAGCTGGATGGCTTGGAGGACTACCGTAGAACCTAACAAGACCAAGGCAAAAGATTCAGAGACACCTCCACTCCCACTGTTTGCAGTCCCACAAAAAAAACAAACAAACAAAAAAAAAAACCCAAGCTAAACAACCACAGCGTACATGGAGAGCCCAGCGCAGACACATGCAGGCTCTGTGGTTGCTGCTTCAGTCTCGGAACCCTGCTTAGTTGATTCTGTGAGCTGGGTTCTCCTGGTGTCACCACCCCTCTGACTCCTACAACCCTTCCTCTCCCTCTTCCGTGGAGCGCCCTGAGTTCTACCTAATGTTTGGCTGAGGGTCTCTGTATCTGCTCCCATCAGCTGCTGGAGGAAGCCTCTCTGATTTTGCTAAGCACCAATCTACGAATACAGCAGAATATCATTAGGAATCTTTGTTTGTTTGTTTGTCAGTTAAGAAAATGCCTCCATATGATCTGATTGTAAGCAGGCCTGTAAAGCATTGTTTCCTTTCCCCTCCCCCTCCTCCTCCTCCTCCTTCTCCTCCTCCTCTCTTCTTTTTACATCCCAACAGCAGTTTTTCCTCCTCCTCTCCTCCAAGTCCTCCCTCACCTTCCCTCTCCCCACCCCCACCCACTCCATTTCTCATCAGAAAAGGGCAGGCCTCCCATGGATGTCAACCAGCCATGGTACACCAAATTGCAGTGAGACTAGGCACCTCCTCTCCTATTAAGGCTGGGCAATGCAACCCAGTATGAGAAAATAGGGTCCCAAAAGCCAGCAAAATAGTCAGAGATAGCCACTGCTCCCACTTTTAGGAGTCCCACAAAAAGGCCAAGCTATACAACTGTCACATATATGCGTAGGGCCTAGGTCAGTCCTTTGCCAGCTCCCTGGTTGTGGGTTCAAACTCTGTGAGCCCCAGGAAGCCCAAGTTAATTAATTCTCTGGGTTTTCTTGTGGTGTCCTTGACCCCTCTGGCTCAAATAATCCTTCCTCCCCCTCTGCCAAAGGATTCCCTGAGCTCCACCTAATGTTTGGCGATGGATCTCTGCATCTGTTTCCATTAGTTGCTTGGAGAAACCTCTCTGATGACAGTTGGGCTAGGCACCAATCTGTAAGTATAGCAGTATATAATTTTGGAATCATTTCATTGACTGTTTTTTTTTTTTCCCAGTCATATTTGGCTTTATCCTAGGTCTCTGAACTATCCCACCTCTGGCTCCTGGCCCTCAGGCATCAGTTCCCTCTCATGGTATGGATCTCAGGCTGGACCAGTCATGGGTTGGCCACTCCCACA